TGGTCGTTTTTCTGCTGTAGACTTCTTGGTGATTCCCTCAGGTTTGGAGAGGTCTAAAATCAGGAAAATTTTATCGTCTTATAGTTCTCAACTAGCCGTGTGGCTACAATGGAACCGTTTTTCAAAGTACAAAAATTGCTGACTTTCATTTCATCACTTATTGTCCGAATAGTCTGAGACTTTAAGCTGTCGATTTTCAAACGCCTTTCTAATTCGCCTTTGGCTTGATACATAGCCCATTAAAAACAAGCCCCGAGACTTACAAGCAAAACGAGCAGTGCTAGATGCAAAGTTCGAATCAAATGTTCAAATATAACAGTGTGGCATAGCTGACAACTTTGTCAGTCCGACACGACCCTCTTTACTTTCATTGCAACTAAATTAGGAGGAGTTCAGTGAAGCCCAATTTCGATAGTTAAAATTCGCAGCAGATCTCACCTCTTCTAACCTGATCAGGAAGTGGGGAAGCAGCAAGAATTTTGACCCAGTCGCGATATTGAAAGAGCTCCTTCAGAGCATCTTCCAGGTTTTTAGCGGCGCACGTCTTCATCATGACACAAATTTCATTCTCATTCGTCGCGGGGAGGGAAAGTCTTCGTTCATTGGGATCCTGATGAAGAGATTATAAATCATACCTAATTTGTGCACCATGTCATTGAAATTTGAAAATAGTTAATGTTAGGAGGAGTTTAAGCTTTAAAAATTCGCATGCACAACATAGTTGGGTCGACACCATCTAAAGTACTTAAACTGCAATATAACTATTGAAGCAACAAAATTGTATGCCAAACTTCAAGACGACGAAAAGATACATGCGCCTTGATTCAGGAAATCTCCTACCTTGAGTTGACAAAATTTACAGTTTGCAGAGGTTTTACCATGATGCAAAGTATGGAAGACGTGTTGACATGAGACTACGTTAATTCAGTTTACTTTTAGTGGGTGAAATTGCTCCACTCTTTTATGTCTGACTGACACTTTAATGATGTCAATGCTAACAGATCTGAACATCAACATTGCAGCATCAATAGCTTCCCTAAACTGCTGTCGGCTTTGGGTTGAATTTGATGTTTTACGTGCATGCATGACAGTTGAAATTGTCCAGTCTAAAAAATGAAATTGGAGAGCAAACTTTACTTGGGTCATGTGGGGAATTCGCATCTAAAAATTAAGTTTTATCGCCTTTAGTTTCGAGCTAAAAGTAATTTGGTATTGTGAGACGCATAAAAAGAAACAAAGGTTGTTTGCTTATAGTACGCTGAATGATTAAGTGTTTGAAAATTGAGCTACTGAGATGAAGCCTTACGTTTTTATCCCTCTTGGTCTCGTCTATGCGTGTGATATCCAGTATAATTGGGATTCGGTAGATGATTTCCTCCTTTATAATGAGCAAGTAGCCAATATCTGGTGGTTTTTTGGAAGAGGGCCAGTCGTTCGGTAAGTTCCACTTTACTCCGTTGCTCGAAACCTACAGGAAAACGCTTTCATCAAGTGTAATTGGAGTTTCGGTTAAAGTGCTTCCAAATTTATTTGGCTTCGCAGGAATAATTAACAAATGCTTTGGTTGTGTACCGTTCGATTTGGGACGCTTCCTGTGTCAAGTGGGTTATCCGGCCTTGTCAAAGAATTTCCTAAGCAGTAAATAGGCACAGTTTATAAACATGATTCCTACTTGATCGATTTAAATGTCTCAACTCTATTTAAAAGCAACAAGTTAGCATGTTACTCTTCTCACATCCTTAAATGGCTGTCAGCCAGGGAGCCGACATCATTGGTTTTATTTAAAATCATGCATTATGGTTAATCTGACAATGAATTGCGTTTCTTGACTAGTTTCTATCGGTATTTTGCATGCGATTACCGTCAGCAGAACGAGACCGAGGTCGCAAAGCACAAGAGTATCTAAATCGAGAAAAAAATATACGAATCGATGACAGAATACGACTTTTCGTTAAAAGAAGGCATAAATAAGTCTCAGTTACAGCTTGAATTTTCCATGTGCTAAGCCAAATGATTTCTGATGCGTTTCACTAGCAGTTGACAAAGTTAAGTAAAGTAGATAAGCGATGTTTTCCCCAAAACAAGTCAGAACTGAGCGTAGGTACATTAAAAATGCATCCGAATTTCTGTACGAAGCTTGATTAAGCACCACTTGAACGGGTGCTTTCAACCTGATGCAGAACAATTACGCCAGTGCCACTATTTCCTCCTA